TCCTGCCAATTTGGACTTTTCGGACCGCAATATTAGACATAAAAAAGGTAAAGACCGTTTAACAAACTGTTTTTTTTTCAAGCAATGCTTATGATATTTTCAAGTATTAATATCTTATTGTTCCTGGTATTGAATACTGGTCAACATTGATTTACTTTATTTTCAATATTAACAATTGCATATCCATACTTGAAAGTGAAGCTGTGATTATTTGATTTTAATATTTGTATCTTACATAAAGATGTTCGCAAATGTTATAAATAAATATCAAGTAGTTGAATATTATTATTAATATCTATATATTAATATTTATAATTATTAAAAATTTGCATTGTATATTTTAACATTATATAATTTCGCCAATTTAAGAGTTTATGTTGCTTTTCAACATATTTTTTGACTTCTTGTCTTTTTCCTATAATTTTTAAAATCACATTCGATAAATATTTAAATCACTGTACCTTTTTGAACATGCAAACAGTGAAATATTGTCAAATAGTCTCAGCTTCACTCGAAAGGCAGTATCGACTATTATAACGTTCTTGTAACGCTGCATAATGTGACTCTGCATTCTGACTGCTTCTTGTAGGTGCATGCTTGATTCGCATGTTGCATGGCGTGATAAACGATACCGCCTTTAGGAATGGCTACCAGAAATTCATAGCAAGGTGGTGGGTATATCACATTATCGTCGATTTATTCTTCAACTAGATCGTCATTCGTTCATTAATCGCGCGATCCCGGCATCGACGTTTATATCACTCGCTCGTGCGACTGCGGGATTTAGTCATCGAAATGATAATCGACACGTTTTACAGCGAGTTATCTCGTCGGCTTTATGGTAATGCCAGTCGTTGAATGTCACGAGCTGCCGACCATTATTCCTCATGCTTCTTTATCGGCCTCGTTACATAAGTGCACTTATCATCGATATACATATTGCGTTGAATCGCACAAACGTACAAAGTTATACAATCTTGTCGCGTGATATATACAAGCTAAGGAATTCATGAACAGTAATATTCTATTTTTCGTTATAGGAAAATACTAAAATTATTGTAAATTATTAAAATGTTCTAGGAATTATTCGACAGCGAATGTTGACGATTTCTGGGAAGCGATGGCGGAAGAAGCTATCGGTTTACCTATGGAAATTACGTTAGCCGAAGTGATGAACTCTTGGATTTCACATCATGGATATCCGATTGTCAGCATTATGAGGAAATATAAGGAAGGCACCGCTATTATTCGGCAGGTGTGCGATCTTAAACACTACGAATTAAATTGCATATTTAATTTTCTGAAATAAAAGTATTATAATTTATATCGATTCGATATTATGCTTTTCGATTATGGTATTTACCATCAACTATATTGCACAGCAAAGATTTACATATGACCAATCATCCGACATTCAACCGACGTGGTACGTACCGCTTGACTATATTAACAAAACGAGCAATGATTGGTCATCTCCGATAAAGACGTGGTTGCATTCCGAAACGGAAATGGTGGTGCATAACATTGGCGCTCAAGATTCCTGGATTGTATTCAATGTGAATAAAACAGGTTGGTTAAACAAATATTTTTCTTAAAAATATCCTTAAAATCTCAATTACAAAAAAATGAGACGTTTTTATCTGGATTAGTAAAACATTTTTTTATCTACACCATTTTGTACGAAACGTTTTTATATTTTTTAATTTATGAATAATTTTTAATGAAAAAAATAAAGCATCAAATTAAACTTGAAATAAGAGTTATATTTTAACATTTTAAATACAATTATTAATAGTAAGACAGGAAATTGAATTTATCTAGGCTCTCGTAGATATTTATAGATAAGTATTTTTACGTTGTTTAGTAAAATAAAAAATATTTGTTTTATTTTTTATTTTTATTAATTTTTTTACTTATAATCTTTTTTCAATTTTTCTTAATATGTTATAACACAATTATGATTTTACAAATAATTTCTGTAACTTGTATTCATGCAGAAAATTTCTTCTTACCTAGAGAATAACATGTTAATCTTAATATCCTCCAATTTAATATGAAATTGCGAAATGGGATGCAAGTGACCTCTATCGTTAATTGCTTTCAAGGTTATTATCGTGTGCACTATGACGAGGAAAATTGGAAGCTCTTGACACTGGCCCTCGAGGAAAATCACGAAATCCTTCCGGCAGAAACCAGAGCGTCGCTCATCGACGATGTGCTTGGACTCGCTGCGGTTGGCTTGACAAAATACGCGACCGCTTTCGACTTTATTAAATATATGCAAATCAAGGAAAGGCATTACGCTCCCTGGGGTACTTTGATGCGTCATCTGTTGAAGTTGAACGGTCTTCTTTACGAAACATCTGGCTTTAGCGCTTTTCAGGTAGCGTAGCAAACTTATTAAAAAAAAACAAGCATTGAAAGACCGTATTAGTTTGAAAACATTTTTTTAACATTGGGGGATAACATGTTTATGTTTAATTAATATTTAGAAAATCATTTAGTTTTCGGTAAACATTTGATAAAAAAATAATGTCTAATGTAAGATAAAGTTACAATATATAATTAAGAATAATTAAATAATGATAGTTAAGAACAATTGAATCGAATAAATGCTTTACGAACATAATATTTAATATAACAATAATTTATGTTGAAAAAATATTCTAAAAAATTTAAAAGCAATTTATATTTAATATTATATTAGGTGTTGGAATTAATTCGTAGCGTT